CGATGCTCTTAATGAAAAGATAGATCAACGTTAGGATATATACCACCAGGCTGGAACAATGGTGTTCTTAGGAGGCAACAACAACCAATCCCAGAAGAAGATGTTCAAGATAATATTGATGGCAGAGAACAAGCAGTATTTCAAGGACCCGGACGTGCTGTTGTTGATGATAACCTGAGTAATATCAAGATTAAAATTTCTCAATTCCAAAGAAAAACTGATCCTGAAGCCTATATTGAATGGGAAAGCAAGGTGGAACATGTTTTTAGTTTCCACAACTATTTCGAGATAAAGAAAGTGAGATTGGAAGCCATGGATTCATAGACTATGCCTTAATATGGTGGGATCAACTTACCCTTAGCAGAAGTAGGAATGGAGAAATATCATTTCAACTTGGCATGAAGTGAAAGGTATAATGCGAAAACATTTCATTCATGTTCATTATCATTGAGACTTGTTTTAGAAATTACAGAATCTCAAGTAAGGCTAAAGGAGTGCGGAGTACTATTATAAAGAAATGGAAGTGGCAATTATCCGAGTCAACATTGAGGAGGATCATGAAGTAACCATGGCTAGATTCCTTGTCGGACGTAATCCATAAATTGTCAACACCTTGGAATTGTACCATTACATTGAAATAGATGAGATGGTGCAAATGGCAATAAAGATAGAAAGTCAACTGAGGAGGAGGCATACAATCTCGCAATGTTACACCCACATCCTCAAAATGGATTCCAAACAACATAAAGAAGTCTACTCATTCTCCTATCAAAGAATAGGTCGAATCTTTAAAGGCTCAGTAAGTGAACAAAGACCCTAACCGAGAAAAACAAACTACTAAACGTTCGAGAGACATTAAGTGCTTTAAATGTCTTGGGAGGGGGCATGTATCTATACAATGTCCCAACCGGAACACAATGATTTTACTTGGAAACGGTGATATTGAATCTAAGTTTGAAGATGATAAAGAATCACCAATAGAAGTCAATGAAGAAATGAAAATTACGGATCCCGTTGAAGGAGAAGCTCTGGTGCTTAAAAGAAGTCTAAGTGCACAAATGACAGAATACAATGCACAACAAGAAAACATCTTTCATACCCGATGCCATGTGAATAAAAAGGTATGTTTTGTTATCATAGATGGTGGGAGTTGTACTAGCGTAGCTAGTACAATCATGGTGGAAAAACTTGGCTTGAAAATAATGAAGCACCTTAGTCCCTATAAGTTACAATGGCTCAATGAACGAGGGAACTCAATGTTAAAAAACATGTGATAGTTCCTTTCTCAATTGGAAAATACATGGACGAGGTTATGTGTGATGTTGTCCTTATGCATGCTAGCCATGTACTTCTTGGAAGTCCATGGTAATATGAAAAAAGGACTGTCCATGATTGTTTTACCAATCAATACTCATTCAACCATGGAGGGAAGAAGATTATCCTTACTCTTTTAATATCGAAACAAATTCAGAATGATCAAATAAAAATGAAACAAAGTGTTGAGGCAATGAGGAAAGGAAAAGCATCAGCAAGCATGGAGGAAACTGATATGAAAACAAGTGTTTATTCTTCAAAGTTCTTGATACGAGAATTCCTATTGACAGAACACAAGGTTAAAGATGATTATTGTAACTTCAAAAATGCAAAAAAATTCTTTGACTTGCAGGATATACCAAGCGACACCGTTCATCAAATTGAAAGATTAGGATACATGACCTTTGAAAATCCAAAAAGATGTGTCTAATAAGCAGAAAAAGGATGCAATTTTCATTCAAAGGATGTGATCTTAGAAGGACCAATGGACGTGACTCATGTGGATTCAATGAACATGCCGATTGGAAAGTTATGGGACATCACTTTTGGGATATCAAGGAACCTAACCATTTAAAACAAAATGACATGGACATATCTCGAACAAGTGCCTATTGAAGATATCCCCATTGTTGACAAAGCAACAACTATTGGATGGAGGGACGTTAGAGAGAAACCACCTTTCGATTTAAGGACAAATCACTTTAAAGAAGGGGGAGATGATGTGATCCAAATCAGCATCATAGTTAACCTTGCATCTCCAGCCTTTCATAATAATCAAACGGAGATTTTCTCTAACTTATTCTTTCTTTATACAATAGTTATTATAATAGTTTACATACATTACATTTATAGTTATGATGATAATATTATGTGATGTATGAAATTACTATTATAAACCACATAGGCGGCCACATGATGGGAGCTAACTTAAGCTAGCATTGAAGTCAAAGAGCTATGGAAACATGACTAGGACAACTCTGGGACAACTTAAGATCATTTTAGGACAAAGTTATCAGCTACCCTCCGAGCTCATAGCTGACTTGAGCTGAACTTTTGAGCTAGCTAGACATCTCATTTCACCTAGAGAGTTGCACCATCATCACCACCACAAAGAGTACTTCAAATATGGCCTAGGTCAATTTTTGTGGAATCGTACATTTTCACGAATAGTTTCCATTCCAAGAGGTTTCTTTTCACAAGGAGCTATTCAATTACTCATCTTCATGTAATTCATCTATGACCAGCTCATCTTCAGCTCATATACATGGGAAGTAGCTCAAATGATGAAAGGTTACCTTACACATAATGTGACATTTCATGACAAGTTGTTGCCCATTGAAGACCATGACACCTAGATACATGTTGGAAGCTAAGTCATGCCTAGTTGCTGCCTATCTTCATTCCATGGACGAGACCACACAACAAGCATCCTATGACCCCATGTGAGCACCTCATGACCAACCCACCCATGTGCCATACGTGTGGATCAATTAGGCGCCAAAGTGTAGGGATGCATATCTATTCAACCAAAGCAAGTTAATTCTTCAAAATGGTGCCAAGATGAACCATCAAGGAGACCATTCGGCCATGAGGTATTTTTTATTCTTTGTGGCCGAATAATTAAGTCCATTCATCTACATTTTTTTTAATTAAATTATGTCTTTTGATTAAAAGGAATGTACCTAGCCGAATAGCCACCTATCTCTTGGTTATTTCCTTTTCATTTCCTATAAATAGGCTAGGCTATTTCCATTGTAACACAACCCTTTTGATTAATATAAACTCTTTGTGAGAAATTCTCTCTTGCATGTTCTTTAAGAACTTTATCGATTAAGCAAACTTTCTAAGTTTGTGGCGTCAATCCTTTTCCTAGATACTTTGAGTTCCTAGTTTCCATAACTAGAGGGTTCAAGTCCTATCCTACCATCCCTTACTTAAGTTTATAAAGAACGAGGTTAAACTTTCTATAGTTTTTCTTCCTCTTTAACTTATTTAAGATACTATATCATCCTTTCCATCTTCCATCACCTTCACGCCGACACCATCACCATTCCATTACCATTTCATCACCATAGAAACTTCCTTCATTTATCATAAAGGCAAACGTCCATCAACAGCATCTAAGGTCGAATCATTCTCCATTTGAATGAAATTTCTGCATCACTTCCGCATCATACTTTGATAACATCTCTATCCCTTTAATCCGTCTTCAATTAATTTCTTATTCCATTTAGTCATTTCTTTCATTACTTTGTACATATTACTTATATATTCAAGTGTGGCATTTGGTGTCTCTCCTAGATCGGGAAACAACAAGGTTGCCATCTTTTCTATCATTGAAGAAGCTTGGATAGCCTTATATCAGTTGGTCAATGACGAAAAAAGTTCATGACTAGGGCACATTGATTTTTCTTTGGAAAGTTCAGGGACCTCGGGAGTCGGGTGTGTTTATACCTTTTTTATATAAATTTTGGGTGAATACAAAATAATATATGTTCAAAGATTCTCAACTATTTGACAATGAACACCCACACCTTGACATTTACGGTGCTCAAACCAAGAGCCTCGAGAGATAACAAATCCCTTAACTACTGAGATCGCTTGGTTCGTGTTTTAGCTTTAGTAATTTTATAAAATATGAATTAGTGTTACAATTTTTTTTAATCTAAAATAAGTAAATATAAATAATAAATATTGAATTCAAGTATAATTAATATAGATAATCATTTATTAATAAAAAAAATATTATTTAACATATGTATTTTATTATTTGATATCAAATATAATTTTAAATATTTATTATATATAATCTAATTTAATATCTTTAAAAATAATTGATCCGCTATAACATTTAATTTCATTATTACCAAAATTAAACTTTGGATGAAAGAAAGTGAAATTTGGATTTAGGCAAATGTTTTTTTTGGGGGGGTTACAAACGGCTAATTGATTTGCATTAGAATTATGTTTAAACTCTAATACAATAGCAAGATACCTCCTCTTTGTAATGGCCTGACACAAGCACACTCACATTATCATGTTTTGGTTCAATTATTATGGTTTGGTTCAATATGCATAATATCTTTGTTCGTAGATTCACACATCAAAATTAAATGTATAACGTAGATCGGTTCAAATTAATCATGGCAAAACTCTAAAATTAAAAAGGTAACCAAAAAAAGATTATCCTCTTCATGAAATAAGTCGAATCTAAATTGTCTATACAATAAGTATATATGTTTAAATTTTTACTCATATATTTTAAATATCTATCATATTAGATTTGAGTGCAATTAACTCAAAAGTTACGAACAGATAGAGAGGGGGAATGGATAACTTCACCTACCCACTTGTACCCTCTTCATTGAAATCAAATTTTCTTTTTATATTAAAAAAATTCACCTACCCACTTAAAAAATTGATGGTATTTTGCTTGAAAAGGAGACAATTTTAGGTTTGGTTCAATCTACAATGTAGTATTGCTTAACTTGAAGATCGGATGAATATTTTATTTTATCCATCATACATCTAAAGAGACCTAATTAATTGAACAAGTAAACCCTAAAGTATATTTGTAACATCATGAAGTCAAACCACTTTGTTAAGCCCTCTAAGAAAAGTAAGAGCTAGTTGGTTGATTGCTGAACTGTGCTGTGATAATGACCCCCTTCGACACTAGCTCCAATTCATGTTCCAGGTACATTAACCACTGATTCGATCTCATCAGATTGGAATGGTCCGAAGCTATCCAACATGTTCCAAAACTCCAAATCGGACTCAAACGAGATGTCAAGGGCAGTATCGAGGATATCCGGTTTGTTCACCTCCTCCGATGTATTGTTATTAACGTCGTAATAGCCTCCTATGAAGTTGAACAAAGAACCTACTTGGTCTTCTGGATTTGAAACACCAACCTGACTGGAATTCGTGACGTTGGAAGAGATCGAAGAACTTGACAATCCTTCCGGCTCCTCAGATGGGCTGCTGCTGCTGCTTCTACTTCTATGGTTTGATAGCTGATCAGTTTTGAAGTCTTGAGAATTGTCTGATACTGGCATTGCAAGTACCTCTCCAGAGTTTTTGCCACTTGATGATGAGATGCATGAACTTGATGATGATGTAGCCATGGAAGAGTCCTTGGATTCATCTTTTTGTTGAGTATTTTCATTCTTTGAAACCAATCTCTTCTTCAAATGAGTGTTCCACACATTCTTTATCTCATTGTCTGTTCTTCCAGGTAAATGTGCTGCTATCTTAGACCACCTGAGAATCAATTTAATTGTAACACAAGTAATTGAGATGACAAAAAATATAGGTTAAATTATAGTTTTGGTCCCTCTACTACACTCAAATTGAGATTTAGTCCCTATACTTTCAATAAATTTTTTAATAATATGGGATGGTAATTACAAGATAATATTTGTTCATAATTTTTCTTAACATATTAACAATGCATACAAACCATAAAGACACAATTACTTGAACTCGAATTCTCTAAAAAGAACAATATTGACTCTTTGGGTTCAATTAACTCAAATGAAAGTATCTCCAAATAGAAACTCACTTGTTTCCCAAAGTCTGATGTAGCCTTATGATTGCGTCTTCTTCATCTTTGGTGAAGTTCCCACGCTTGACATCTGGCCTCAGGTAATTAATCCATCTTAAACGGCAACTCTTTCCACATCTAAGTAGCCCTACACCCATTCATCCACACAATCTATATTCAAACTTCTGTATGTTTGAAGACAATAATTTCCATAAACGGTACCAAAAATTTCTTGAGATGGTTATAGAAACCATTTCACATTTATTGTTTTCTTTCCTTCAAAATTCAACCATTGAAAGATTGAAGGCTACTTTAAAATTTTTGTATGTTGAGATGTTTAATATCAATATGTTGAGATGTCGCACGTCAATTTACAAATATGATTCTATCAATTCAATTTGTTCAATTATAAAATTAAAAAAAAAACTATTTAATTTTAAAAAATTAAATTTTTTAAAATTCCGACCACGCCTCCCAACCCGCTTTTGATCCATTCTTAAACGTTAGTGTTAAACTCTTAGATGAAGTTTAAAAAACCTAATATATAATCTTTAAACAATTTGATAATACTTTTTTAGGTGACTAAGTTGACCCTTAATTGTTTACCGGCCCCAGCAGATTCTTGAATGGACCTTCTCCATTTCACCAAAACTGGCCAAACACCATCCATAAAGACAAAACGTAATGCCAAAACATGCCAGTTATGAACAGTTCAAACATTTTGGTTCAATGAATTCTTATTTGACACCTAATTTTATGTTAAAGGATAAATTTTTAAAATTATAAAAAATAAATTTATAAAATTCTAATAGAAAAAAACATATTATTAATAAAAAAATATTTAAAATATACGAATTTTCAAAAGAGGAGTGTCTAAACTGGATGAATATCCCAAGAACAATGCGATACATATGATTATTATGGAATGGCATTAAAGATGGGATTATATAGGAAACCAGGTGAATTTTATTTTATCATTTTTGTAAAGTACATTTAAAACTTTGCTGGTTGACGTTAGAGAGACGAAATTCACTGAATCTGATCTGGATGTTTTTAAGACTAATTAAGATTGACCAGTGATGAGAAAATTGTCAGTATCTGCGGATATCTCTAAGTAAAACGAACGTTTCAAACTTTCCTTCTGGTAAAATAATATATGGTCTTGTATAGAATATTATCTGTATTCATTTTAAATAATTTTTTAATGAAAAAATATCTGAGTGACGGTGCATGGTATCAAATTAAGAGAAAGTTTTACAGATTAATCTACAAGCACGGCATTGCCTACTTTTCCATTTGATAAATTGAGAAAATTGTTACATTTAATAATCATTTATTCAAAAAGAAAGAACTGAAAATGAGATCAAATGAAGACAAAAGCTATGAATAATGGGTGAAAAGTAATGTTTTTGTTGGTAGAGTTTTGGACTCCTAACAGGACAAATCCAAAATTTTATGTTACTGTTTCCACCCGCGCTTTCACGGTTCATTCCTACTCGTAATTTCCATAGTCTGAATGAAAGAAAGAAAGCAAGAGAAAAGGAAACTGACCAGCTTGTTTAGGGAGAGCTCTCCAGTTCTGGTGACCATGCTTCTGAATGAAGGAGATGAGCCTCAAATCCTCCTCAGGACTCCATGGACCTCTCTTCACTTTCTCCTTATCACAACAGGGGGCTCTTCCTTTCCCCATTTTCTTTTTCAATCACAAAAAACCAGGAGGAAAAAAAAGGGTATTGTTTTGTTTTGGATATGGATCTGCTCACATATAAATGAGATTCTTAGTTCCTTTATAAATAAATACAAGAAAGAAAAGGCCACAAGGGTCATGCCATGGAATGGGGGTTACCCTTTTCAACCAATAAATAGGAGAATCCAGGAGGATTATTAAATATCTATAAATCCAATATATTATTAATTACCCTCTTATTAATTTGGTATTTATATTATGAGTGAATTGAATGTCTATTTAATTAAAAATTATTTTTAAATAAGATTATTAATATTATTATAATACCTTTCTCTTTTTTATTTTAATATAATTTTTAAATAAAATAATTAAAATTAAATGTATTATTTTAGGGATTGGCTACGTTCCAGTGTTCTACTTTTGACTTTTACAATTCATGAATCAGTTTTATACATTTTTTCTCTTTCTTTATTATTACTCATAATCTTTCTTTAACAGTTATATATATAAAATTTAATTATTTACAACTTTATCTCTTTCTTTATTAGTCTCGACTGATTATATGATAATATTTATTTAAAATTCAGTCATATATATACATATATACACCTTACACATGCTACTGTTCGAACTCGGATCTTCTAGGAAGAATAACGTTCTTTTTAACCACTAAAATCACTCAATGGATTTCATAACATCAATTCTTAAATTGAAGGAAAATGCACTTAAATATATTTGAATCCATGATATTTCACATATTATAATAATAACGATATCAACTTAATTAATGTCCCGTCAATTAATTTATATACAAATACAAGCTTAGGATTTTGTGTTCGGGATGAATTTGTAATATTTTAAGAGAGATAAATTTATTAAATTTTGAGGAGAAAAAATATATTATCAACCGAAAATAAAAAATATTTAAAATATATAAAAATTTAAAATGTTTATTTTTAATAAGCCTCGATAGTAGTTTAACTTTATAATTACAGTTGGTAATATGTTAGAGAAACAAAACAGTAAAACAATAATAAAAGAAGAAAGTGATATTATTATTGAATCGAACATAATAAAATAAATATAAAATTAGAAATAAAGAGTAAATTTATTTATTCAATTAAATTGGATGGACAAAGTCGTTGAAATGTATTGATATAGTTTCTTTAAGACAGATGCGTCCATTCGGTGCTAGAGTAACACAACCATAAGTTTACACAGGTTACATAAGAAATTCACACTAAAACAGTTTTTGAAAAATTTGAGTGCTCGTTTTGTGACATCATGCACACCATGACGTCGGATTTGTAACTCCCCTGCATGTAATGGAGAGAACTAACTTAGTCTTTAACTAACATCTAAGTTGATTCATGTATATAAACATATCCACACCTTGTATCCCACTAATTTGGGATATGAACTTTTTTTTTCAACTAACTTACTTTGAGCATCAATTTCTCTTTCATCAGTCAATCATTTCGAACATATGATATACTCCTATTGTAAAGGTCTCGTGAAGTAAAATATAAAACCATAATTTTTTTTATTCGAATATCTACCTTTACCCATTGAAAATAGGTCTCATAATCTCTAAAAATTCATTTATCCCCACATCTACTTCATTTGATTTTGTGCATTAAGTCAGATTTTTCGGCTATTTTGTAAAATGAGAGTGAGAAGTTGTCCTGCATTTCAACTCTGAACCTGGTTTCAATGAGATTATAAAATGGAGAAGAGTCATGTTGAATAACCGGGTAAAGAAAACGGAAAGAACACAAGAATTTTAACGAGGTTCAGCAATGTGCTTACGTCTTCGGTGCCCTAGGCGGCGCTAGAATTTTTATTCAATATCTCATGGGTTTTGGTTACATCTCCTTTTATAATAAATAAACCCTGGTACATATTTACAAAAATAACCCTGTACCGTACCGCGGGGCTACGCCCCCGCACACCAACCCACATAATCGTAACCCCCACTACGAGACTTTCTTTACCGGTATATTTATAAGCCATACCTAACAAATCTCCACCTTGGCGAATATCCTGCCCCTTAGGAAACATTCAATGTGGGTTGGGTTACCTTACTTCTTTAACAACTCAAAACATTCAACAAGTCCAAGCAATGCATGAACTTGTCTATCGCAATTGGCTTGGTCAACATATTAGCGGCATTCTCATCAGTATGTACCTTCTGAAACAAAATCTCTCCAGATGCAACCAACTCTCTGATCTTGTGAAACCTTACATCAATATGCTTAGTTCTAGCATGATATACCTGATTCTTAGCCAAGTGAATAGTACTTTGATTGTAACAAAGCAACTGAACTCTACCTTGCTAAACACCCAACTCCTTCACTAAACCAGTAAGCCATAAAGCTTCTTTTGCTGCTTCAGCTGCTTCCATGTATTCAGCTTCAGTTGTAGATATTGTCACAACAGATTGAACAGTAGACTTCCAACAAATAGGCCATCCACCAAGAGTAAAGACATACCCTGTCGTAGATCTTTTATTATTCAAGTCACCCGCATAGTCTGAATCCATATATCCTACAACCAAAGGATTATCCCGCTGACTACAAAAAATAATTTCTTGTCCCACAATACCCTTTAAGTACCTAAAGATCCGGTTGACTGCTTCCCAATGTTTCTTACCAGGTTTTGACATGTACTTACAAACTTTGCTAACATCATGAGCTAAATCAGGACGAGTACATACCATTGCATACATCAAGTAGCCAACAACATTAGAATACGAAACCTTTACCATATCTTCAGATTCCTTATCTGTCTTAGGGCACTATTCTGATGAGAGCTTAAAGTGATTCGCCAATGGAGTGCTCACTAGTTTTGTGCTGTTCATCGCAAACCTTTCTACAATTTTCTCAACATAACCCGTTGAGAGAGCCACAGTTTCCTTGAGTCTCTGTCCCTACAAATTTCCATTCCAAGAATTTTCTTTGCATTACCTAAATATTTCATATCAAATTCCTGACTCAATAAAGTTTTCAAACTGATAACATCATCCATGTTCTTCGCAGTAATTAACATATCATCAACATACAGTAACAGAAAAATAAAAGAACCATCATCAAGGCTCTTAACATAGACAAACAATCATACTCACATCGCTTGTATCCAATCTTGATTATATATAAGTCAAACCATTTGTACCATTGTCTCGGAGACTGTTTCAACCCGTACAAAGATTTCTTCAATCTGCAAATTAAATGCTCGTTTCCAGGTTGAAACCTTCAGGTTGTTGCATGTAGATCTGCTACTCTAAATCAGCATGCAAAAAAGCAGTTTTAACATCCATCTACTCTAAATGCAAATCCCAACTAGCCACCAATGCAAGTATTGCTCGAATTGAAGTGTGCCTGACTACAGGGGAAAAGATTTCATCATAATCAACTCATTTCTGCTGTGAAAAACTCTTTGCTACCAAACGAGCCTTAAACTTCTCCTCCTCTTTTTTTGTTACTACTGGTTTCTTCTTATACACCCATTTGCAACCAATAGGCTTCTTACCCTCAGGAAGGCGAACTAACTCCCATGTACGATTGTGATTCAAAGACTCCATCTCCTCAACCATGACAGCCATCCACTTTTTGTTTTACTAACTAGTAACAGAATCATGAAAAGTAATTGGATCATCACTGCTAACAGTAAGTGCAAAAGAGACCAAGTCTTTAAAACCCAATATGTTCGGAGGCTTTATATTCGTCCGTCTCACCTTGTCTCTAGAGAGACTATAATCCTGCAAATCAACCGTAGCAGAACCATTAGAATTTGATTGAGAAGTTTATGTTTTCTCAACTGGAATCTGCTCGAAATCCACCATTGTCGTGTCTTTCTTCTACTGCAACATGGGTTGTTCATCAAAGACAACATCTCTACTGATCACAATTTTCTTCGCAACTGGATCCCAAAACTTGAATCCTCTGACACCTTTCTTGTAACCCAAAAAAATGCACTCCTTCAATTTTGCATCAAGTTTGAATCTCTCATCAGTAGGTACATGCACATAAGCAGGACAACCAAAAATCCGAAAGTGATCAAAAGTAACATCATGACCAGTCCATACCTCTTCTACAACTTTCCCAATCAATGATGCCCTTGGCAATCTATTGATAAGATAACACGCCATGTTAACAGCCTCAGCCCAGAAGTGTTTGGGAAGCCCCGTATTCAACCGTAATCATCTGGCTCTTTCATTTAACGACCTGTTCATCCATTCCGCAACACCATTCTATTAAGGTGTCTTGCGTGCTGTAAAATGTCTCTTAATCCCATGATCCTTACAGAAGTTTAGAAACTGTGAATCTCTGTACTACATACCATTGTCATATTGCAAACACTTGATTTTTCGTCCTGTTTGGTTTTCTACCTCGGCTTTCCACAACTTGAACTTCTTAAAAACGTCAGACTTCTACTTTAAAAAATACACCCAAACTTTCCGTGAAAAATCATCAATAAAAGTAACATAATACCTAGATTCACCCAAAGACGATGTCGTGGAAGACCCCCATACATCAGAATGCACATAATAAAGAATCCCTTCAGTTGTGTGCTTCCCAGCCTTGAAACGAACTTTAGTCTATTTACCAAGAACACAATACTTGAAAAAATCGAGCTTACAACTTTTAACACCATGCAACATATTTCTTTTATGTAATTCAACCATACTACGTTCACTAAGATGAGCAAGACACATATGCCACAATTTGGTAGTATCATCATAGGACTCAACAGAATGAACTTCACCTACAACGGTACTCCCTAACAATCTGTAAATATTCCCTGCAGTCATCTTTCCTTTCATCACAATCAAAGCTCCTTTAACAATCTGAATGGTTTCCCTATCCTCATCAGCCTTAGGGATAAAGTCATTATTGTGCAAATTGCCCAAAGAAATCAAATTTTTCTTCAAATCTGGGATATGCCGAACACCACACAACGTCCGAACAGAACCATCATACATCTTAATTCTGACATCACCAATACCAACAATATTGCAACATCGATCATCACCCAAATAAACAGAACCAGAATTAACTGACTGTATGTCGAAAACCATTCCCTATTTGGCGTGATGTGATAAGAACATCCTGAATCAAGAATCTAGGCATCCGTGAGT